TAAATGTCTACTCAGTAATGCTCGAAGACAACATATTTAAAATCATATTTTGATAAAGCACTGTTATATATACAGAATATTAAGTACACCAAATTGAATCTTTACAAGAATTATCTCTTAACTCAGAATTAGTGATCACAACTTAAAATATAATAGAAAATCATTTGAATATTCCCAGGGAACAAAGGCTTCGTCTCAGTTGTAATTCATTAGAAGATGAAAAACAAGTTTAATTAAACTGTAAAATAACGAAGATTTAAGATATATAACTGAAATACAAAACTGTATAGTATATTGCCATCAGATCTAAATAAACGTTGCTCATACATAAAAAAAGTAAAAAGAGGGAAAAGATGTTGCTCTAAAATGAGCTCTGAAAAGGCAAACGAAATCTAAAATATTTGAACTGGATCTATATTTAATGGTCCTTAACATTACTATATTTCAAATTATTTGCTTGAGCATACTCAAGAGTCAAGCTACTGCCTGGAACCCAAATGTTGCTATATTCGCTTTCTAAGGATACATCTATGGAAAGCCAAAAGTGAAATCGGTGAAATTCAATTGGATCTGTGTTTAGTGGTCCCTATTATAGCTAACACTGAACATTTCTAAATTTCAAACAATTTGGTGGAGGCTTACTCAAGTAAGCATTCGGAAACGAACAATTTATGGACGTACGTTCGTAACGAAATTATAGCTATTTACTCCTGTCTCAGTTCGTTGGGGGCTTGATAAAAAGATTTGGTCTAACTCCTTTAGACAGCAACCCAACATCCCAAATAATATAAAAAAAAACAGAGTTCAACATACGATCTTTAACAATATGAATATATTTCCATTCAATATGTCAAGCTCTAAACCACCATGATTTTAAAACGTAGTAAATTAAATTATACAGAGAATATCAGAGATATGTCATCAACACAAAATTCTCTAAAAATCAAACAACTCTGGACTCTTTTGAAAGTTCCTGTTTTCCCTAAATAATCTAGGTGTACTCTTAGACCAACAAAAATCCATATTTTGCTATACACGTTTCGTGAACAAAAACATGTACTTAAGAAATTTGTTGAAAAAAAACATGTGATCTTTACCTGTGATGATGGTGACTTTATCCTGTAGAGACGCCATGGTAAGCTACAAATTTAGTTAAACTAAATGGAGTGTGAAGGTTTTTAAACACCAGGAGGTGCTGCTGTTCGCGTTAGTTACAATTCGTTACTACAACACAGAGTTTTAAAAAATCCATAAACTTCAGAATGTATTATGAAACGCATGTTTGCTTATTAAACGTGATCAAAATTTATTCATCTCCAAGCAAGAAAGATCTAGATGACACTTGGTCACTTTGTTGACCTGACAGTCTACCATATTTACCTAAAATATCAGAAAAGGATTGTATAGGCCCTTAAGAACTTTAAATGTCCCTTCTAATGAAACACGATATCTACGTTTTGCACAAATTTTATTTCATTTGATAATTTTTCTTTTAAAAAGTTCTTGTCTTGATATTTAAACTTCAGTTTAAGTTTCGTCCTATATTTAGTTTAAACATAGTATATTTAAGAAATAATTCATGGGGGCTTGAATTGATTGTGATTTTACCACGGGTTGGCCCTTTGTGCTAAATATTTTACCACGAGCGACAGCGAGGTAAATCATTCATAAAAAGCATACGACGTGGTAGTAGGATTGCCCAAATAAATCATGAAGTTGCATATCAGCTGACATATGAATATATTCGAATTTTACCACGGGTGTGTACTCAAAGCGTTTGAAGAACGTCATATTAGAATTGTAAATTTAAGCAAAATGGATAAGACACATGTGAAAAATACTTATAAAATCTTCTCCATAATGCAATAAGAAAATATAACAATATAAACATGCATATATACAAAATTTTAATGTAGAAACCATTTATCAAATGTAATACGATGTTTAACTATGAATGACGAAAAAAAAAAAGGAAAACAAAAAGGAATAAAAGATAATTTATATGATATTACATGTAGGTATGTTTTGTTGATGATTACAATTTATATGATATTACATGTACGTATGTTTTGTTGATGATTACAATTTATATGATATTACATGTACGTATGTTTTGTTGATGATTACAATTTATATGATATTACATGTACGTATGTTTTGTTGATGATTACAATTTATATGATATTACATGTACGTATGTTTTGTTAATGATTACAATTTATGATATTACATGTACGTATGTTTTGTTGATGATTACAATTTATATGATATTACATGTACGTATGTTTTGTTGATGATTACAATTTATATGATATTACATGTACGTATGTTTTGTTGATGATTACAATTTATATGATATTACATGTACGTATGTTTTGTTGATGATTACAATTTATATGATATTACATGTACGTATGTTTTGTTGATGATTACAATTTATATGATATTACATGTACGTATGTTTTGTTGATGATAACAACGATGTTGATAGTCAGTGCCAGTACCAGTTACAGTTTATAAAGGTACAAAAAATCTGTTTGTCCTTCTAATAAAATCTTGAACATGCTTGGAAATTCTGATATTTTGTTCATATAAAAGTCAAAATTTCCGCAAGTTTAGAGTTTTGTATCGAAAACATATTTCTCGGGAAGCCATTACAGATTATTGAATAAGGTTTCTGTACAGGTAGTATATTTTGGACAAGTAAAAAGGATCCCTTGTAAATTAAAAAAATAACTTTATTTTTTTTGTAACCATGTTATCTTCTCTATATATGCACATCTCTAATTTAACGTTGCCTATTACCCTTCTTATACTGACGGTTAAAAAGAGGCGGCAGGTACAAAAAAGACAACCAAAACTCATTTCACGAGAGAAAAACAAAACTATGTACAAAAAAGAAAGAAAACAAACAACATTCTACAAAACACGAAACCCACTAAAGCGAAGGTGATCTAAGGTGCTTCGGCAGGGTAATCAGATCCTGCTGTGCATGTGACACCCGTCGTGATGCTAATGGTAAATACAGTTAGAATACGCCCCTGTTCTATTGTCAATATTGTTTTTTTTATGGTCGTCAACCTATCGTCTTTATGGTAAAACTGTAAGTCCTCACCTTTTACGTACATGTTAAAGTAAACATTCTTCTTCAATCAAATGAATATTTTTCACATGTATCTTTATACCTGAAACATGAATCTAGACTTTTATGTTGTTTCAACAGTTGAATTGTCGTTTTTATCACGCCCATAATCGACTGAACGTTGACATTTTGCATTTATTCGTTTATATTGAAATAAGAGGTATGATTGCCAATGAGCTCGAGAACTCAGAGACCAAATGACGTAGAAGTTGTCAACTATAGGTCACCGTACGGCCTTCAACAATTACCACAACCCATACCGCATGGTAAGCTATAAAATGCCCAGAAATGACAAATTTAAAACAATTCAAACGAGAAAACTAACGTTCTGATTAATGTACAACACAATACTAGTAAACGAAAAACAAATATGATATACAGCAGCAAAAGAAACCACTGAATTACGGGCTCCTGACTTTGGACAGGCACATATAGAATGTGGCGGGGTTAATCATGGTTACGGGCGCCAAACTATCCCATAACCAGGGACAGTAGTGTAACAACAAGACATAAGAACAAACCATAGAGATCAGTTGAAAAGGCCTTAACTCATCAGATTGATACAAAGCACAAACACCAAGTACAGATCTGAGAGAACTCCTACGTACTGAAAGCTAGTTCAAAACCAAGAACAAGTAATAAAAAAATCATGTATCTAAGACTAAAATATCAACCAATACACCTTTGCCATCCACTGTGTATTGTTTAAAGAGGTCTTTAACAGTCGGAGAGAAAACTAGAGGCTCTCAAGAGCCTGTGTCGCTCACCTGTATTTACTGATGCTTTGGAAATCATGTAAAATAAGGTTAAAATCATAATTAATAGTATTAGATATTAGATATTATAATGATATCTAAGATAATAACAAAAAACTGCAAAACTTTTGTTAAAAATTACTAACTCAGGGGCAGCAACCCAACAACGAGTTGTCGGATTCGTCTGAAAATTTCAGGGCAGATAAATCTTAATCTGATGAACATTTTTGACACCTGTCAGATTTGCTCTAAATGCTTTAGTTTCAGAGATATAAACCAAAAACTGCATTTTACCCCTATGTTCTATTTTTAACCAAGACGGCCATGATGGTTGGAAGGCGGGGTCATCGGACAAATTTTTGAAACTAGATACCCTAATAATGATTATGGCCAAGTATGGTTAAATTTGTCTCAGTAGTTTCAGAGGAGAAGATTTTTGTAAAAGATTACAAAAATTTACAAAAAATTGTTAAAAATTGACTATTAAGGGCAATAACTCCTAAAGGGATCGACTGACAATTTTGGTCATGACAACTTATTTGTAGATCTTACTTTGCTGAACATCATTGCTGTTTACAGTTTATCTCTATCTATAATAATATTCAAGATAATAACCAAAAACTGCAAAATTTCCTTAAAATTACCAATTCAGGGGCAGCAACCCAACAACAGGTTGTCAGATTTGTCTGAAAATTTCAGGACAGATAGATCTTGACCTGATAATCAGTTTTATCCTGTGTCAGATTTACTCTAAATGCTTTGGTTTCAGAGATATAAGCCAAAATCTACATTTTACCCCTATGTTCTATTTTTAGCCATGGCGGCCATCTTGGTTGGTTGGCGGGGTCATCGGACACATTTTTTAAACTAGATACCCTAATGATGATTGTGGCCAAGTTTGGTTAAATTTGGCTCAGTGGTTTCAGAGGAGAAGATTTTTGTAAAAAGCTAACGACGACGGACGACGACGACGACGACGACGACGACGTCGACGACGAAGACGGACGACGGACGACGGACGACGGACGACGGACGCCAAGTGATGAGAAAAGCTCACTTGGCCCTTCGGGCCAGGTGAGCTAAAAATGATTATATGCAATGCCAAAATATATGTATCGTCAGATCGTAGGACGGTGAATGTTCACATTTGTATAATAATGATATTTAGTTGGGTTTTAATTTATTGATAACAAAATCAATAATTACACCGATAAAAACGATATTCAAAGATCTGATTACAGTGTTAAATTGGTTACCTTTTAAATTAAGTTTATTCAAACGATCGACAAGTTTACCCGGATCGTGTCTAAATTCATGGGCTCGATAAACAACATCAACCTAAAAATTAGGATGACTTTTTTATTGTGCTATCCCGTTTGTAATAAGTTTTCTGTGAAAGGTACAGCCACACTTCCAAACCAAGTCTGTGTATCCGTATGAAAGAATTTGGTAAAGGTTTTCAGTATTTGTGGCAACGACTTCTGATATACCAGTACTAGTAATCATAGATAGATTATGTTCAATGAAACCAAAAACGTCACTACAGACACGGGTTTATTTTATAAAATTATGTTTAATTAATTTAAATGAAGTCAACATATTGTGAATGCTTTTAATATACACATTCATATTATTATACTGGAAGTCCACAATGGCGTCCAGAATCGACGAAGAGTAAATGTCCGGTAGTAAACGATGCTTCATCTGATGCTAGAAATCGTATTGCCTTGGCGACGTCTTCCGGTTTGCCCGCACCACCAAGAGGTTGTAGCACTTTCAACCGCTCAAGATACTAAAAAAAGAGAACTTTATAATCATCTTATTAAACCCAATGAAGTCACCTAAGGTTATATTTGTAGATTTTATTCGGAAAGGGATATTTAATCAACATTATTAACATTAATTACAATCAATCATAATTAATAAACTAATTATTATCGAATGTATTAACGGTCTCGAATGCAATGTAAACCCCTTGATACGGGGTGACAACTAATATAACATAATCTAATAGAGCATTATTTTATTTAAAAATGCTGTTAAATCGTACGATATCGAAGTCCACAATTCACGCGTTTCTTAAATAACCTACATCTGGTAAGCAAGAAATTAAACGTTTACAAAGCCATATGTACAAGTATTAAGCGTTCGAGAGGATACAACCAAATCTAAGCAGAACGACATATAAGTTTAAGAACAACGTTGCTAGAGTGAATTGCATTCCTAATTTTAGCACAATCTCATATTCTTTATGAAATAGAAATCTGTAGTAAAAAATTATCATGAAAATCGTGCCAGCAGAAGAGTACTTTCTACCAGGCGGAAGGTGCCACCTTGGACTAGTTCATATGAATCGGTTTCAACTCAAATGCCGAAAAAGAAACTGTTCTGTACCGATTTCCATGCACACGACACATATTCCTTGAAATAATGCATCAGATGTACTCGCGACTGTACATCTGTAAGTTTGGAAAGCATATTCAATCTCTCAAAAGAAGGGAAACCCCAAAGCCCAAAATTTGAATAGCAAAACTGCGAGACTTAGTTTTACGTACAATTATGAATTGACGAAAACATTTTACAGTCAAAATGTTAACAAATAACGGATACGAATGGAACGTTTACTGTGAAAGATTAAAACAAGAATCTAGTTTTTTGTACAACAGTTTGATCTTGTGTCAAATATATTGTCATAGAATCCCTGGTATGTAAAATATCCACGGGGTGCAGTCACAGCAGTATATTGCTTACAAAGAAAACAGATGTCATTGGATAATTATTGTACAATATGGTTTGTGTGTATATTATACTTACATTTGAAGTCATGTCGCCTGGCCATCCAGCATTTTTGGCGAATGGTGTCAAAATGAATCCCGGGCTGCAAATATAATATAGATGAAGATATTACACATAAAAGGTCAATTTACATATTGCCGAATTTACAATTATATTGGCAACCAATGATAAAATGGACAAATATTGAGATAATGAATTTGGAAAATGGTGCTTAATATATTTAACATCGTAATACTATCCATGTGCCTGCAGTAATTGTAGCCTAAGATCATGGATCACTGCCCAACAAGAGACCGATGCAAAGCAAAGATTGGGAAAGGTTACATGTACCAGACAAGCAGTAATAGGTAAATGTTATTTCCTTGAAACATATACGTTAGTCATCAATATTGACATCGCTGACATTAAACAGTAGACAAGACTTGTGTTAATACAATACATGACGCTATATATAGATCGTCTCTATTCTGAAAAAGTAATTCTAATATGACGTCCTTATTAGCCGTGTTCTAATTAGCACAAAATATGCTTGACACATGCGCACAAACTTACTGTTTGCATTCTCGTTATTTTTCATTTTTATCCTAAAAAATATATATATTTAGCTGCTTACATAAAACTTCATTATATATTGTTATTAAAACACCATATATTTACCCTGCAATTAGTTTTTAAACTTATTAAATATGAAAATGTAATTTGCATAATTCATGGGGAGGAAGCGGGAATAGCCAAACATTTCTACGGTATTTTCTTACGCTTCGACCTATAAAAATGTTGTATTTGTCCTATTTGAATCGAAATAATTCCTTCATGTCATACTCTTAGTCTATGCTCATTTTAACATGGATAGGCATTATATTTAACCATATTTTACACCTCGCTAACGCTCAGTGTAAAATATCGACAAATTTAATGTCAGCTTCAGCTGGCCCATAAACATAAATGTGTACTAGTTCAATGAAAATGGACGTCACACTAAACTCCATAACATATTAAAGACTATTAACGATCTGCTGCCATCAATCTAAAACTCTGTAAGTGAAGATAAAAATATAGGCACATGTGACGGGGTGCGACTAGTTTTTATGAAATCTCTATTCTCCACCTTAAAATCTCGATTTGTTGAATAACAAATTGTAGATAAAAGATAAAAGGTTATTATACCTACTTGACTGAGTTAACCCGTACTTTCTGAGGAGCCAGTTCTGAAAAGAATCCACATGTATTTGATTAAAGACGCACAGTTTCGACTAAATGTATTATCTTTATTGAATCGTTGGTGTAAACAACACACTATATCTTTGTATGTAAAGCATGAAGACAAAATAAATATTTAAAATAAGAGTACCATGCACCATAATTAAGTATGACGTTTATGTCGGTCTACTCTCGTATTAACATGTGTTTCTGTTACAGGAAAAAATGTTTTATAGTTATAAAAAACATCAAAGGTTTACTAGGATATCGAAATATTATAGTCGAATGGATCTTTATTCCGACGGTGCATCGACGTTCAAAAAAAGACAGTTTGGCACTGCAGTTTGGCTACCGGATGTATAAATACGCAGTCACTTTCTTCTTTTAATAAATGGTGGGTGTGCCTTTAAGTTAGCCCACTGAGTACTAGTAATTGATATTTCATTATATGTATGTGGCTTCACAAACTTTTGGTCAAGAGCGTACATGATCAGAATCTCATTGTCATCAGTAGTATTATACGATCAATAAAAAAAAACTTTTGGATTATCGCTCTTGAATTCAGTATCTATATTTTGTACATTATATGGCTAATCAATATCTAATTTTTCTTCCATTTTAGAGTTACTTGGTGAAAAAAAGCAAGGACATTTTTATAAATAAAGAAAAAAATGCGTTGACAAACTCTCTTTAAGAAAGAAGCGGAAGATACAAAGGGGACATTAAAAGCTCATAAGTTGAGGTAACTGACAACGCCATGGCAAACAAAGAAAGACATCGAAAAGACTAACCAGTCCCCAAAACATTAGATAGAAAAAGACAGAGAAACACGAACCCAACCAAAAACCAAGAGGGGAATCTTTAAGTTCCAGTTATTTTATGGCGTTTTCCTTATGTTTTGCGTCTTTCTGTTTTTATAGCACTATAGTATTTACAGTACATTATATGTGTCTTGTACATTGATCACCATTATTATTTACTATTACGCTTTTATTTATAAAAAACTTACAAAAAACGGATATGGTAAAATCAATTTCATACGTGTAAGAAACAAACCTAATGCTAACACGCGTGTGAACATATCCAATGCAGCTTTTGAGATGCAATAGGCAGAGATAGTAGGAGCCTGCAAGTATACAATAAAATAATTCTACATCAATGAAAGGATACATTTGTATGTTGAATATACATCATCGAGATATAAACCCAACAACGTAATACAAATAAAAATAGACTTCAATCTAAATTTCAGTACATGATTTTAAAAAAAAAAATTATATGATATGAAACATGTTCAACATCAATAGCATAACAGATGATAGTGCAGTATGTAAAAAAAATGAATAAAGGAGATACTGGGTATATGTTAGTGAGACAGAAATCCAGCAATGAATTAAAACAAGAAAGGCATCTGAAGTTTCACATAGATTATTTTGATCGATGGTTTCTGTGAATATAATCAATTCGTCTGCTGTGACTTGTTTCATCTCTCTTAGATACCCGACATGTCAGATACCCCACGTGCCTATGAAGTCATCATCAGACTTTATTATCGGTCTTATCATATTTATTGCCGTGACACATGCTACATGTAATGCTATGAGCATGAAATTGCATGACGGTAATGCATTCATAGCAGAAGATCTGTATCCTTTGTTGTAGCTGGTTTCCCGCCATAATCGGAGTTCCGATTATCTGTCACTGATTCATTATATACACGTGTAGCTGTGATAAACGAACTTTGTCATTACGGGGTCTTTTATAGCTTACTATGTGGTATAGGTTTTGTTCATTGTTGTAGGCCGTACGGTGACCAATAGTTGTTAACTTCTACGTCATTTGGTCTCTGGGTGGAGAGTTATCTCATCATCTTATGTTTATACGTGTTAGTTAAGTTGAATTCTTTTCAGTGTTTACATCCCCAGTATACTCTTACATGAACTGGTAATTGTAAGTCTTTTCATGAGCCACTATAAATATGTACTTACTGCACGTTGTCCTCCTATACTCGAAACATTCACTATAGACCCTAAAAACCATTAAAAATGAAGAAAATGACACGAGGTTCAAAATGATATAACGTACTAGAAACCCCTATTTTTTCGTACATCAAATATAATTGTCTTATCATTAACTGTGCCCACTGGACGTAGCTTTATAATGCTGCAAATAACTTGACGCTACAGTGTGCTGAATACCGCAAAATCTCTGGCATATAATATGTGAAGTCGAGTAACAATTGCTATTTTCAATCGGATAACATAAACAAGAACCATGGTAGAATGAATTATGTGCCGTTTTCTTTTTTTTATATTGATTTTGGCCCACTGAAACATGTTACATTGTTGTTTAAGTGGTTCACACACAGCTTTAAGGATTAAGGAAGTTAGCTGCATATCGGCGGAACAAAGTAGTGAAAGGGTCAAAGTCCTAGGGAACAAAAAAAAAAGATTCTTAAAAAGCGCACATCGTAAAAACAATTACGACATGTTGCAGTTTTTAGAGAAGCTCATAAAAAGTACTCTCTAAATTTAAAAGTATTTATTGTCTTAATTTACAATGTTTCTCATATTATTCTAATGCTTCATAATTATGTATATGACAAGTTAACAATAATTTCGTTAAAACTGAAACAAAATGGATCAAAGAATCAAATGGCCGCATTGAACAAAATGGTCCCAAAACAATGGAGAATAACACATGATGGACACTATTAAAATTAAATGGAATAAAAATTGTAAAATTGAAAAAAAAAAATGGGGAATTTGTTTGCAAGCTACTACACATCTTCAATATGTATGCAATCTTTCTTTGAAGTTTCAAGTATGTAAGTTGAAAACTGTAGTTGATTACTCCAAACTGGAACCCATTATTCCACTAAACCCCGACCGCCCGACCCCACCATACTTTAATTCAGATTTGCAAACCCGACCAAAGCGAATATATACAAGTCTTATTTAATTTACTTTTAACACACACTGCCAAAAGATTGCTAAGCGTGTTGTTTTCCAAAATTTGAAAAGTAATTATCTCGCTTTGACTTGATATTTCTCATTTGAAATAAGATTTATTTATATGGCTTATCAATATCTTTTTTTTTTGGAAATTTACATGTATTTTTGAAAAAATAAGGGAATTTTACGGGAAAATATTTCAGATTTATTCAAGTAAAACAATGGGAGTTCGAACATGAAACCATTTTTTAAATAAATATGTAAACATTAATATAAAAGCCGACCAACATGACGCGGCTTTAAAGATATGACATTGTGCATTCGGTTCGGAATGTAAACACATATATATTTACTTTGGATTCAATAAGGCAGCTAGTCGTGAATTTCATCCAACATAATCGTTAGTGGTCATCGTTTTCAGCCTATAATGAGGCACACTTTCATTGGTGTATGTTTACACAGTTTTTGCGGCTGGATCCCAATTATTGTCACATTAAACTATTATGTCTGTTTGTGTTGCTCACCCAATTTTGTCAATATAACGGAACTATAAACAACTGTCATACAAGTGGGAGGTTTAGCTAGCTATAAAACCAGGTTTAACCCGGGAAATGCCTGTACCAAGTCAGGAATATGCAGTTGTTTTTCACTTGTTCAGTTGATTGATAGCGTTTGATTTTGTCAGTTTTTATGGACATCCCCGTTTTGAATTTGCCTTGGTGTTCTTTATTTTTGATATACTTTTTTTACACAATGAAAGCAAACGCAACTGTTTCAAGGACTGTTGGGAGGAAGGTTGCCCTCAGTTGCATTCAGTTATTTGAAAATATTTCCTGTAACAATGAGCAAATATTGAAACCGTAAGGAATGATGTAAAACAATTAACAAATACTCCACATAACTGAGAGCTACATTGATTATTTTTATAGTCCAAAAAGTTAAAGGACCGAAGGAATCATTAAATGTGTTTTGGTTCTAGGCGTTAAATTATCGTCACATATTATTTGTCATATTATACGTTACTGTTTAAAAAGTGTTAAAACAAAACAGCAGGGTTTCAATTTTATCGCCGGTATATCTAAATACGATACAAAAACTGTATGGACCGACAACTGCTCAATATAAAGTATATAAAATGGAGCAATGCAAATACTAAGTGCAATATCAAAACAAACATTGGCACTCATACCACATCTTCTTATTTCTATTTAACAATTATCGTAAAAGATAAATGTTTCTTAGTGAATTGTTTCACACAAACGTGAACTTGTATATATAAAGAGTGAAATGCGTCGTATGCATATGATTATTGTTTGAGGCAAAGCGAATAAATTATGGTATCTGTTTGCGTTGATAAGTCAAATGTACTCAGATTTACCATTTTGGTCTTAGAAAGTATGATATAAGACATCATTTGGTTAAAAGTTCCAGCGATAAAGCGTTTTTGAGCTGATGGTTAGGCAATGACAAATCAATCAATCAAACATATGACTTTCATTTGTTCTACTTACCCTGAGTTTTGGTAAGATGAGGAACACACAGTCTTGACAAATTATAAATAGATTTAAAGTTGACATTCATTATATCGTCTAGAGTTGCTTCTGGTGTCGCCATCACATTACTAAAGATTCCTTTTCCTGCGTTATTTATCTGATAAAAATGGAGAACAGATGACGTCTTGACTTATGGCTGTTGTAAAATTGTTGTCATGGTTGCAGTTTTCAATTAAATTAGTTTTTATTTGAACCTTTGGAATTATACATGTAGTTTCCCAAATAAAGCATGCAAAGTGTGCACTGTAACTGGTATGAAACATTTTTAAAAAGCTTACAATTTCATTTTATGTCACTGCTACTATAGTTTCAACTTTATTTTTGTTCTTTTTTTCTAAATGATCTTGCGATACAATTTACAAAACTATTGCTGTTTGATAATGATTAACTGTGTCAATGGTTTTTAGACAATTGAAATCCCTTATATTTCCAGTGACAACTAAAGGGGGGGGGGGGGGGGGGGGGGTCACTAATGTTTGTGACCGCGGTACTGTGTTTTTGGGTTTTCGATAAGAGAATGAACACATACATGTATTTATAACATACCAACACATCGATTCTTCCAAATTTCTTTACAGTTTCGTCGACTAATGTTTTCAAATTGTCCTCATTTGTGACGTCACAAGGAATAACCAAAACCTGAAAAGATGACACATTCGCGCTCAACACAACACACACTACAATATTTGTTAGTAATTTATCTAGTCCAATAGAAAAGTCATACTTCATCAAAAACATTTTAAATAATTTAAAAAAGGAAACGATACCCTGTATTGAGAAAAACACACACTATCATGTTTTAAAGATAAATTTCAACAATACTTCGAACGTGTTGCAGATTAAAATTTATTCTCCTCCCGATCATCATCCTTATCATCATCTGAAAATTTATTTCTTCCTTAATTTCACAGATCTTGATAATATAATTAGCGGCTTTACTTTTTGCACCAATTATTTCTTATAATTGTAATTTATACATTGGCGAACTGTTTAAAAAAACATAGGATCCTGGCATATGAAATTACAAAATCAGTTGCGGATCCAAAACTTCATATAAGGGTGGGGGCACTGACTGCCATAAGAGGGGGCCCGCTACAATCATGCTTCAGTGATTCCCTATATACGCAACCAAATGTTTCCCACGAAAGGGGGGCCCGACCATTAGCATAGACTTAAAGTGGTAAACATTTCATATACATCTGGGTGAGATGAAATTAACAATAAATCCAATCGTTAGGTTTCAAAAGATAGGTCGACCCGGATAAAGGGCAGAAAATTTGACGTGACACGAAAAAAAAGGCAATATGATGTTGGATAGGTGCAGATATGTTGTCCGTTCCGCTGTTCTGAATGTATAAATACGCAGCCACGTCCGTCCGGAGTGAGGGCATTTAATCCGATGCCTCTTGTGAAGATAGTGCTATGCCCAATGTACGTTAAAGAACTCTTACAACATTTCTTGGCGGGGTCGGTAGGTGGTCTGTTGCAAGGTTCAATTCCGACAATATCTACAATGTAACATTCCTTTTTTTCCAAATTACAATCCGTATTTCTAAGTCTTCATTGGTTCGACCTTCTTTACAAAACCTAACTGTTAGATGTGTTGTTTACTTTATCCAAAATTGGTTTTCCTAAATGAATAACTGTTCAAGAGGTGTATTTTATCCAGAATCCAAACATAACTTTCCTTTGGAAACTTATTTAATAACGTTGAAGCTGTGTTTCAGGATTTTTATAGCAAAATTCAGATGTTCAAATTTAAAATTTCTCTTATCTATTGTCTATTGTAATTGTTCTTGTCCTGAAAATAATGAAATACTTCCAACTGAACATTCTAATTGTTTACGCAAACAGCAATGAATCATTAACCTGACGATCATCCTGTACTGAAAATAATTGTAGACTTAGCCAAATGAAACTTACATCACTATTCGATAATCCTTTCGTTTTACACAAGGATGCTACTTTCTCAAGATTCTCGACATTTCTAGCTGCTAGAACTACCCTTGCTTTGCTCTCAGCAAACAGTAATGCAGTTGCTTCTCCAATACCTGAACTTGCACCTGCAGTACCAATGTATTATATTCATATATATATATATATATATATATTTGGCAAGCGCTGTTCCTTAATTTTTGCTTTTGGGTCATGTGCGCGTAGTCTCAATGAGTCATGAATTGATACACCGTATACTTTCTTATCCATGATGGTTTATTGGTATAAGGAAATAATCCAATAACACTGGGTTATAACCAAGATGTATTGCAAACGCATCATTTTTAAATGGTATTCTTCTCCTTGAGCGTCTTCAATTGTATCTTATTGCGTTCAGAAATAATTTTAACGTGATATATTCAAACGATTATACATGTAGTACTACAGACCAACATACTAAGAATCGTTTGTATAAAAAAACAAAATTTTAGAAAACTCAAGTCTGGTGATAATAAGGTTCTGTACGGTATTTGGCCTTTTGATTTCGAGATCTTTTTTTAGTGTATATATATGTGCAGATAATTTTATCATTTGAAATTTGATTCGATAATTCTTCACTATCTGTATTAACCCGAATAATTCAGTCCCTCCCCGTGATCGACTCTCCCACTCGCGAGGAGCAATGTAGCAATCGTAGAGCAGTGGAATATAACGACTGAATTATTCGGGTTATATCTGTATTAGATATGTTTGTATTTGTGTTTGCTTGACCAATATGGATGTATTTTGCAAATAAAATTATTAACAAGTTTAATTTCATATTCATATATATTATATCAAAGGTTTAATTGTTATGGGTACAAATGTTGTGCTGTTACACTACTGTCCAAGGTTAGGAGGGGTTGGTAGAGCGTTAACAAATATGTTCAACACCGCCAATTCATTAAATGCCTGTCCCAAGTAAGGAGCGTGTAATTCAGTGGTTATCAATTTCTCTGTTCAAATGTACACTGAATACCTTACGTGTAGGTCAACACGTAAAAAAGTAGTTGCTGTTTGTTACTATCATTAAGTTTATCTGTACGTAATGTTACTATCCTCGGTTATCGAAGTTACTATACTTTTTTTAATTGGTTTTCTATCTCAAAAACAAATATGAAGACATGCGCTTTAATTCCAATAAATCAATAAATTAATCCACCAAAAAAACCAACTACGTATTTTACATGTATATTCATAATGAAGTTAAATTTTGTAATGAAATTACTGTTGCTTTTCAAGCCCTTGATATTCCTTCTATCCTAGTTTTAGATATTGGTTTTTCATCAATGTATTTTGGTTATATTTTTTTCATTAGGTTGCTGTCTCATTGACGCATACCCTGTATCTTCTTTCGATCACAATTAGTTATGCATGTTCTAAATACATGTAATCTATAATCTATATTTAAGATTTATTCTCAAAGTGTAGACGCACTATCTTCTGTTTCTTGCACACATATTGATTAATATATAAAAAAAAACTGGAACGATATTTTGATATAAAGTTGATGATCTTTCTACAATATATAGTCAGCATCAATTAAAAAAATGAATGCTATTAGAGAGTATGGGAAAGGATATTTATAGGAGCAACAAAATATATGTAAAGATCTTAAACCATAGAATTTTTTTAAGAAATCTTCAAGACATTCAATTACTGTTTTTCTAACTTAGGATATTACATGGTTAACAGTCTTCAAGGCCCTTTTCGCAAGAAAAAAATCCATATTTTGTTAGACATCACATGAAAATGTAGTTTAAAAAGGGATTTTTACCTGTAATGATGGTGACTTTGTCCTGTAAAGACGCCATGATGATATATGAGCTGCGTCGGATAGAAATCGACCTTATGCAAATGTATATCAATAAATCTGTTAACCTAATTCGGGTTGAAAAATCTCTACGGTTGTACGGTTGTACAATGAGTTGTTATAAGAACCCTACAAAACAGATCAAAATTATTTTTTTATTTTGTATGTAAATGTTCAAAAATTAATCAAACTTAAGTCTTATACATGTACACGTATACGTGCACTTGCATAAGGTCGATTTCAATCCGGCGCAGCTCATATATAAGTGAATAAAGATAAACTAAAGTAGTAGCATATGCCTTTTTTTATTCATACATGTATCAGATTAGACGATAACAGTCGTTAAATTTGCATCCGTTTATGTAACGATCGTTACGAAAAGGTCATACAAATACATTTTAAAACAAGTTACATATTAATGGAAAATATATTTAACTATAAAAGTAAACAAACGTCAACCACAAAATATAAATAAGATAAGAGAACGTGATATTTTTATTTAACTTAATTTATCAGAAATGTATTGCACATTGTGTTGTAAATAATTGACCGTTTTAGGATATTTCTATAATTTTTACATTATACATATTTTTTCCAAAAAAATCTGTTAATCGGCCATGTTTTAACAGGAATGGTTACGATAAAGATTTATGGAAAAAGAACGAGAACAATGAACAATTAATACAATAGGCATGTTTTGCAAGGTATGTCGACTGGGATTAACGGCAGGTGATTTGGACTGCCGCTGAGGGTATGTTGAATAGAGGTAGAAATTTTGCCTGGCAACAGACCACCTACGGACCATTTGGAGAGTTGTTGCAAGGGTTCTTCAACGTGTAGAGTGCACGTCACTCGACCTACAGGCGACATTCGGAACAGACGTTGCTGCGTATTTATACATCCACATATCCGAACAAACACACCATTTAGCAAGGGTTTAAATACCAGACTAGGTGACTAAGGATATTAACTTGAACGAACTCTTGTAAAGATCTTTTGTTCTCATCCGATACCTGGCTTCAAATTTGCCTTGTCCAACTGAATTCTTTCAACAAAAATTGAGTATTAAGTGGATAATTTTTTCGTTACAGATTTGTCTGTAGAAAGCTAGTATGTTAAGAATATTGCATTGGATATACAAATCCTTCAATTTATATTTCAAGTGCTGTTTTGGGAAAGTAAATATAAAAGACTTAGTGAAGTACACATTGGTTTTTGATTAATTACACGTATAGTATTATCCTGCTTTGTCTATCTATAATTGTTCTCAAGATATTAATAGTCATAATTACTTACATCCACGTCAAAATCTCATATTGCCCAAAATTGGACATATTTGATTTTAGATAGAAATAAAGAGATTCTTACATGAAACGAAAATAAGCACATGACAAAGATTATAGACTTAAAATATATATACAAACACATGCAGAGCAATCATATGGTGTTTTACAATGTATGAATGAAAAAGTAGTGTCTGTCTTCCTAAAAACGTTTTGAGGGTCATTCTTTAGTGTTGCTAGGATAGATGCAAAGAATTTTGAAAATATACTTTTTCGTAACAGGTGTTTGTTAAGAGCTAGCAGAAGTGCAGATGCATACCATGTATTTTTATTTTTTACGCCACGTAATTCTGTAAACATTTTGATCAGTTTATGTTTATGCTTATGCTTCACTGCCAATAATGAAACGGAATAAGAGAACAAAATGATCGGATCGGAGTTATGAGTCTGAGTAGAGGGAAATATGTTCATATGGGCTGTTACTATGTAAGATAGCATGTCAAAATACAACTCAGCGCGTCCCTCTAGTAAAAAACAGGGGGGAAATATATCCCATGAATTGGCATTTTATCGTTCAAAATATGATGCAGTATTCGCCGTTCAGTGATTCAGCAATATTACTTTCAAATTAGTGTGGATCCCAAGGACCGGAACTGTCTTTACTGTGGATCCCAGGGACCGGACCTGTCTTTACTGGGAGTGAACTTTTCTCAATTCTAATTTGAAATACAGAAGTCAGGGACCTCCCATATTCTTTGCACTAATGTTTTGTTCATGACATTTTATATTCTTATGGAGGACCTTTCACTTGAAAGTTAAAAAAATCTTGGACTTTTCATTGTTTAAAGCAAATTTGAACCGCTGAACGGTTGGACATGTATAAAACATTCATCAATTTTAAAATAAATCAAAGTTAACGTTTGTACAAAGGATTATTACTACATGTTATAATTTATTTATTTGCTCTATATACAAATACCTTGAACTATACAGCTTGTTATTCCAAATGTAAAATATATTTGTACTTTCATCTACACCTAACTTTTAGTTTCTTCTTTTGTACATGTATATGTCCTGTAGTTACAACAAAGAAACTAAAATAACCAGATATCTAAAACTACATGGTATCTTATTCCAAACTAGATATCTAAAACTACAAGGTATATTACTCCAAACTAGGCAAAATATCTTGTGCACTATCATTTAAACCTTACTTTTATTTCCATCACTTGTGGAGGAAAAATAAAGATACTCAAAATAACCAGATATCAGGAACTACAAAATTTGTTATTCCAAACTATTTTCTATTGTTTGCACCTGTGAGCTTTTATTTCAACCTGAAAGGGTTAAAGTAAAGAGAAACTCAAACAAGAAATTCTGATACTTCAAGGTCTGTTTTTCCAAACGTATCATCTCTTTTAAATATACTATCATATGCACTTAACCTGTTTTCCTCCTGTTATGATATGACCTATAACAGCGGAAATATGAAGAAATTCATCTTGATAACCAGCTATGTAACTGATATGTTATTGATATAGATAAATTATTCATGCCATTCTATGAAGGTTAATATACAGTAAAAGTAACAAATAGAATAGGGAATGGAAAAGGGGAATGTGTCAAGTGTTGCTGTTTGTTACTATCATTAAGTTTATCTGTATGTAATGTTACTATCCTCGGTTATCGAAGTTACTATATTTTTTTTAATTGGTTTTCTATCTCAAAAACAAATATGAAGACATACGCTTTAATTCCAATAAATCAATAAATTAATCTACCAAAAAACCAACTACGTATTTTACATGTATATTCATAATGAAGTTAAATTTTGTAATGAAATTACTGTTACTTTTCAAGCTCTTGATATTACTTCTATCCTAGTTTTAGATATTGGTTTTTCATCAATGTATTTCGGTTATATTTTTTTCATTATTTTGCTGTCTCATTGACGCATACCCTGTATCTCCTTTCGATCACAATTAGTTATGCATGTTCTAAATACATGTAATCTATAATCTATATTTAAGATTTATTCTCAAAGTTTAGACGCACTATCTTCTGTTTCTTGCACACATATTGATTAATATATATATATAAAAAAACTGGAACGATATTTTGATATAAAGTTGATGATCTTTCTACAATATATAGTCAGCAACAATTAAAAAAATGAATGCTATTGGAGAGTATGGGAAAGGATATTTATAGAAGCAACAAAATATATGTAAAGATCTTAAACCATAGAATTTTTTAAAGAAATCTTCAAGACATTCAATTACTTTTTTTCTGAAATTAGGATATTACATGTTTATTATTAATTGTTTTTGGCTTTTAACTAGGTGTCAGTAATTGCGAGTACTCTCAAATCGTACTTTCTTGTTTATTTGACCTGTTGATACTAATTGTAATGCTTTTTTGTTATTTAATGTTTACTTATTCAGGGTTATATCTGGTCTATATACCAGCTTTGATAAGTGTTTGGTATTACTATAAATTTTCACTTCTTCGTACTATATGAACATCAAAATTATTTATTTTGTAAAAATATTTCCTTTCTCCATTTGAACTGTACACGTATACCTAACAACAAAATTATTTTCATTTACCTGTGTTTAAAGTAATTGCAAATGGCTGATATTTTTGTTCAAGCATCTTGTTTTTCTTAAATTGTTTAACATTTCACAGCGGTATAACATGTTACTTTAATCATTCTTCCCTTAGTTTATTTATTTTGTATTTACATTGTATCATAGATCAAATTTGTTTGTTCAGTGTATGTTCACTGGTGTTAATATGTCTTTTGATTGAGTTAAGCCATTTCAATTGATATTTTATAGTGTGTCTTTCTATGTTGTGATGTTACACTATTGTTTCAGATAAGGGTGAAGGTTTGGTACCATTAAAACGTTTAAACCCGCTGCAATTGTTTGCATCTGTCCTAAGTCAGGAATCTGATGTTCAGTAGTTGTCGTTTGTTGATGTGGTTCATAAGTGTTTCTCGTTTCTCGTTTTTTATATAGATTAGACCGTTGGTTTTCCCGTTTGAATGGTTTTACACAAATAATTTTTTTGGGTCCCTTTATAGCTTGCTGTTCGGTGTGAGCCAGGACTCCGTGTTGAAGACCGAACTTTGACTTATAATGGTTTACTTTTATAAATTTTGACTTGGATGGAGAGTTGTCTCATTGGCACTCATACCACATCTTCTTATATCTAATTAATAGTCTTCAAGGCCTTTTTCGCAAGAAAAAAATCCATATTTTGTTAGACATCACATGAAAATAAAGTTTGAAAAAGGGATTTTTACCTGTAATGATGGTGACTTTGTCCTGTAAAGACGCCATGATAATATATATAAGTGTATAAAGATAAACTAAAGTAGTAGCATATGCATATTTATATTCATACATGTATCAGATTAGACGATAACAGTCGTTAAATTTGCATCCGTTTATGTAACGAAACGGCCATACAAATACATTTTAAAACAAGTTACATCTTAATGGAAAATATATTTAACTATGAAAGTCAACAAACGTCAACCACAAAATATAAATAGATAAGAGAACGTGATTGTTTTATTTAACTTGATTTATCAGAAATGTATCGTACATTGTGTTGTAAATAATTGACCGTTTTAGGATATATCTAAAATTTTACATTATACATATTTTTTCCAAAAAATCTGTTAATCGGCCATATTTTAACAGGAATGGTTATGATAAAGATTTATGGAAAAAGAACGAGAACAATGAACAATTAATACAACCGACTTGTTTTGCAAGATAGGTCGACTGGGATGAATGGCAGGTGATTTGGACT